AGTAAGTAATAATGATTACAAAAAAGTGAAAAAGTAATGTTTATTTCATTCAATATTGCACTGGAAGTTATACTAGAGGTTATATGGCAGTACAAGGTAATTAAGAGTACTCTAAGATAGTAAATGTGGTATTAAAACAGGTAAAGGTAATTAGACAAGTAATGGTTATTAAATGTCAAGAATGTTAAGAGTAAATTGAAATTATAGTAAAAATGATAATTATTAATTTTAGTAAGTATTATCAATTGATAGTATTTAAAAAAATATGAGGTAGTAATATGGACAGAGAAAGTATCAATTCAGCTAATGTTTAAGCAAACAATAGTAAATAAGAAAATTACATAAGGTGACTTATGCTTCTTACTAGTAAAATCACAAAATGAGGTAGTTGATTATTTAATTACTAAGAGATTGTACAGTGAAATTTGAACAATAATGGAGCAAAACATATGCTACACTACGGGCTCAATTCGGGAAACTGGAGCACATATCTAATTCCCTAGATCAGGAGCTTACCAGCATCAAGGAACCTCCTTTGTGGGGCCAAAACTACATAATTAAGCCAGAGGCTAACACATTGAGGTACGTAATTACAAAATTTACTCGTGTCCCAATTAATTTTGCACACTACTGGTAGTACATACACTAGGGCCCAGCTTTATGGCGTTTTGCCTTACAGCATTCCGCTAATATGGCGATTTCAGATTGACCAAAATTTGCTATACTGCAAGCGGTCTTTCAAATACGGCGCGCCCCACCCAGTTTGCTTACATTCTCTGAGCACGTTTATGTCTGGGAACTTTCCAAAATTTCAAGTGTATTAAAGTTATTGCATATTTTATATGTAAACTCCGATAATTATACAGTGGACCCTCAACCAGCGATGGCATCGATTAATGATAAATCTGACTAGCGATACATTTTAATGCAAAAATTTTGCCTCGACTAGCGCTTAAAAACCCGACCAGCGCTATTCGTTCTGTACGAGACACGTCCACTTTGGCCTGAGCACGCCTCACTTGTCCCGTGGGTGCCAGTGTTTGCAAGCCAGCCACCGCGGTTGCTTTCAAACATACAACTGGAACATTTCATATTATCACAGCCTTTGTAGTGATTGCACCTGCAAAATAAGTCACCATGGGCCCCCAAGAAAGCTTCTAGTCCCAAACCCCCTACAGAAAAAAAGGGTGAGAATTACTATGGAGATGAAGAAAGAGATCATAGCTAAGTATGAAAGTGGAGTGCGTGTCTCTGAGCTGGTCAGTTGTATAATAAACCCCAAACAACCATCGCTACTATTGTGGGCAAGAAAACGGCAATCAAGGAAGCTGTTCTTGCCAAAGGTGCAACTATGTTTTCGAAACTGAGATCGCAAGCGGTAGAAGATGTTGAGAGACTCTTATTGGTGTGGATAAACGAGAAACAGATAGCAGGAGATAGCATCTCTCAAGCGATCATATGTGAAAAGGCTAGGAAGTTGCATGACGATTTAATTAAAAAAATGCCAGCAACTAGTGATGTGAGTGAATTTAAGGCCAGCAAAGGTTGGTTTGAGAGATTTAAGAAGCGTGGTGTGATAAGGCATGGTGAGGCTGCCAGTTCGGACCACAAAGCGGCTGAAAAATATGTGAAGGAATTCAAGGATTACATAGACAGTGAAGGACTGAAACCTGATCAAGTGTTTAATTGTGACGAAACAGGCCTGTTTTGGAAGAAAATGCCAAGCAGGACCTACATTACTCAGGAGGAAAAGGCACTCCCAGGACATAAGCCTATGAAAGACAGGCTTACTCTGTTGTGTGCCAATGCTAGTAGTGATTGCAAAGTGAAGCCTTTATTGGTGTATCACTCTGAAACTCCCAGAGTGTTCAGGAAAAACAATGTCGTCAAGGCTAATTTGTGTGTGCTGTGGAGGGCAAACAGTAAGGCATGGGTCACTAGAGACTTTCTATGACTGGTTACACCATGCATTTGCCCCCAATGTGAAAAATTACCTAATTGAAAAGAAATTAGACCTTAACCCTTAAACGGTCCAAACGTATATATACGTTCACGCACGTAGCGCCCCAAACGTATATATATGTTTTCTTTGTCATTCATTCAACATTGCCACAGTAAGCCTGAGTCACCTAGACATGAGAGAATGGGTGTGTGCACTCACTGTGTTCCATATTAAAATAATTGGGGATGTCTGGGTACCATATGCTCTTTTTTCCTTTTAAAAGAAAAGATTTCTTTTTTTCCTCAAATTTGGGGCGCTACGCGAGTGAACGTATATATACGTTTGGACCGTTTAAGGGTTAAGTGCCTCCTGGTATTAGACAATGCTCCTGGTCATCCTTCAGACTTGGCAGAGCGACTTTCTAGGGACATGAGCTTCATTAAGGTCAAGTTTTTGCCTCCTAATACCACTCCTCTCCTGCAGCCCATGGACCAGCAGGTCATTTCCAACTTCAAGAAACTGTACACAAAAGCTATGTTTGAAAGGTGCTTTGTAGTGACCTCAGAAACTCGACTGACTCTAAGAGAGTTTTGGAAAGATCATTTTACCATCCTCAATTGTGTAAACATTATAGGTAAGGCTTGGGAGGAAGTGACTAAGAGGACCTTGAACTCTGCTTGGAAAAAACTGTGGCCAGAATGTGTAGACAAAAGGGATTGTGAAGGGTTTGAGGCTAACCCTGAGAATCCTATGCCAGTTGAGGAATCCATTGTGACATTGGGGAATTCCTTGGGGTTGGAGGTTAGTGAGGAGGATGTGGAAAAGCTGATGGAGGAGGACAGTGAAGAACTAACCACTGATGAGCTGCTAGATCATCTTGAACAGCAAGAGGCCACACCTGAGGAAACTGCTTCGGAGGAGGGGATAGAGAAATTGAAGAAGTTGCCTACTTCTAAGATTAAGGAAATGTGTGCAAAGTGGCTTGAAGTGCAAACCATTTTTGAGAAAATCACCCTGACACCGCTACTGCAAGCCGTGTTGGCAACCTGTACACTGGCAATGTTGTGAGCCACTTGAGAAAAGTCATAAAGGAACGAGAGGTACAGGTATGTATGGACAGATATGTTGTGCGACAGAAGTCCAGTGACTCTGAAGCTGGTCCTAGTGGCATTAAAAGAAGAAGGGAAGTAACCCCAGAAAAAGACTTGCTACCTCAAGTGCTAATGGAAGGGGATTCCCCTTCTAAACACTAAGATGATCAATGGTCTCCCCTCCTCCCATCTCATCAATCATCACCAGATCTTCAATAAAGGTAAGTGTTATGTAACTGTGCATGTCTTCTTCAGTTTGTGTGTATTAAAATTAATATTTCATGCGGTAAAATTTTTTTCTTTTTCAATACTTTGGGGTGTCTTGCACGGATTAATTTGATTTCCATTATTTCTTATGGGGAAAATTAACTTGACTAACGATTATTTCGATTAACGATGAGCTCTCGGGAACGGATTAATATCGCTGGTTGAGGGTCCACTGTACTTGTGTACCTGTACCTAAATATACTTACAAACTGTTGGCATGCAGGTACACATTAAAATCACTAAGTCTCTCTACTCGTGACGCCATAGTAATACTACGTAATAAGCTCTCTTGGGCATGTTAAATGTCTTATGTTAATATAGACATTTTCATTAATCCATCTATGATATTTTCTTCAGAATTATATAAGAAACATGTTACATACCATATATACATATGTCCACAGAATAGAAATTCACATAAATATGAGATTTGTTTACAAAGCGGCTTTGTAGGAGTGTCGGAAGAATTGCATTTTCTCTAGTCAAACGTTGGAGGATAACTAGATAAATATTCCTTTCGTATGCCTTAACTCTATATATAGCAATTCATGACCCTTGTGGGTTTTTTTTTTTATTTATGATTATAATAATAACTTGTAATAATAATTTATAATTGTAATAATAATTTGTCAGAGCATCATTCCTTCTATAAATTATATAAGATTGGAAGTGTTGGTCTATTTATTTTACTGTACCACTTTGGAGACAACTGGTACACAATATAGTGTTCGTATGAATGTTTGTTTACATAGTGGGTGGGGTGGCCAGGCTGTTTTCCCTACACTACCCTACCTACCAGACGACTTTCAACAAATAAATAATTTTCACCTTTCACCCTACATTATGATAACAAATATTTTAAGGTAAGTAATGAGTGTACTGTATATGCATTTTATCACTAGGGAGCTTTAAGCATTGTCGGAGTATATTATGTGTGGGTGGGGTGGCCAGGAGGGCTACCACACCTAACTTCTTACAGTAAATACTGCTCACCTACATTAAGACTAGAAATATTTTGAGGTAAATAATGAGTGTACTGTGTGTATTTTACTTTTTATTGTTTTAATGTTTTTTAATGTTAGTGTAAATTTATCTGGCATTTACGTATATGCATTTATAAGTGGAAAAAATGGCGTTCTGCTTTCTGGTGATGTCTGCTTTCCGGCAGTAGCCTGGAACCTAACTTTCCGTAAAAGTGGGGCCCTACTGTATATTGTTTTGGGGATATTTTGTTACTGGACAAGTACTTGTCTGATAGGGGGCCACTGTCAATTGGTTTAACCCTTAAACTGTCCAAACAGATTTATGTTTACTTGCGTAGCACTCCGAACGTAGCTCTACTTTTTTTTTTTTTTTTTTTTTTTTTTTTTTTTTTTTTTTACATTTGAAAGCATATAACATAAAACATAGATCTGCATTTGGAGCGCTACGCGAGTGAATGTAGATCTATGTTTGGACAGTTTAAGGGTTAATTTCAGTATAATTTCTGGCATGAAATGCCTCACAATGGAGTCAGTTCTTGCACTCAGGGTGTTTTATGGCTTCCTTTGATTAGCTTTTGTTCTTTTGCAATATGACAGGATAATGGGCTCGTGTATGTACTGTATGTTGATAGGTGGTGCTGTATTTTGGATTATGGTTATGCATGTATTTTTTTTTTATTGCAGTGAAGCATTACTAATCTCTATATTTTATTGCAGGTTTACTTTTATTACATTGGTGATCTCACCAAGTTTCTTACTGATAAAAAGAAGAGATATACATAATTATGGAGTACGACAGGATGTCCGGGCTAGACTCCTGGCTCACAGAGAGTGAGCAGGATTTTTCCTTGGGGGCCAAGGCAACATCTTACCTACCTTCTGCCACTTTAGATCCCAGCTGTAACAATGCCAATTTTGGTGAGTTGAGAGCACTTCTGTAAAACTATATTGTATTCTTTTAATCATAACTCCATACCTCCCATGTATGTATACAGTGGAAAAATTAACGTCTGCACACACATTCCTTCTGTTGATACAAAAACTAAACTGTTTGCAAGTTACAGGATTTTTAGTTTATCTACTATTTTAATGGGAATGTAGCTAAAGGGGTCTTCCTTTGACTTTTCATTAATATTGGTACAAGTTGTACTGTTTTGTATTCGTCTACCCCAGTTACCTTTTTTTAAACTCGACGGCCTCTTCTCCCAAGGCAGGGTGCCCCCAAAGTAGATGACGATTGTGCGCCCTTCCACTTCTGGGACTTGGCCAGTTCTTGGTGATAGATAAAAAATTTAAATGAACAGGCAAAGCTTTGCCTTTCCTTTTAAAAAACTTGCCATGTAGTAGGTGGTTGAAGTTGACCCCTGTCCCTTCTTATGGGCTTTTTTCGTATCGTGCATTTATTGGTTATTTTTTTAAGTCTTGCCCTTTGCAAAAGCTGAAATGCAATGTGCTCTCTTGGTTTCCTTAAATTAAAATTTTTTTATATAGGTTTTGTATTTTTTGTCTTAAATTTTGTTTCTTTTTATTATTTTTTTTTTTTTATCACACGGGCCCGATTCCCCCCAAAGGCGGGGGGCCGGGAAAAAAGAAAAACTTTCCCTCTTTACCATCACTGTCTTCCCAGAGGGTGCTTTACACCCCAGTTTTTAAACTGAAAATTTTTAAAAACACCCCTCTTTCAGAGTGCAGGCATGTACTTCCATCTCCAGGTAAAGCCCCGGCCTACGGTTTCCCTGAACCCCTTATAAATGTTATTTGCTCACCCCCAAACAGCACGTAAAGTTTTAAAAAACCATTTGTCTTCATTCACCCCCTATAAAAACACGCTCACGATGCCTGCTGGAATCCAAGCCCCCCGCACAAAAAACCTCCTTTACCCTGCTTTTTACAAAACTTAAAGTTTGTGCAGTTTTGCCCTGTGCAATTTTTGTTTTTAAAGAATTGTTTTTTCTTTCCCTCCTTAACTTTTTGTGTGTCTAATAAATTTTTTTTTTTTTTTTTTTAAATCGGCCGTCTCCCACCGAGGCAGGGGACCCAAAAAAAAAGAAAATCCCAAAAAAAATGTTTCTCTCATTCAAACTTCCTACACTCGACATAAACCTTTTTTAGAGGTGCTCAGAATAAACGTTTAGAAGATTTTACGTATAAAAAATAACAACATATCCTCCAAATGCCAATATCCCCAAACCCCCCCTTTAAAGTGCAGGATTGTACTTCCATTTCCCGGGGCCAAGTCCGACTATATGAAAAAAAAACCGGTTTCCCCAAAAACCTTCACTAAATATTACCTGCTCACACTCAAAAGATGTCAGGTTCCAAGTACCTTTGTTTTCCCTTCCTCCTATTTTTAATCCAACCCTTTTTTAAATTTTACCTCCGAATTTTCTCATAATATTTACACCACACATTTCCTTAGACGGACTTCCACTGCCTCAACCGCCTCCCCGCTTGCATTTTAACCAAGCTTCACACCCATATAAGAGTGTTGGTACTACTATACTTTCATACATTCCCTTCTTTGCCTCCAAGTTACGTTTTTTTGACCCCACATATACCCCGTACACCACTCACCTTTTTTTTTTCCCCATCAATTTTATGATTAACTCATCCTTTTAAAATCCATCCCCCGAACATCAACCCCAAGAATCTGAAAAACATTCATTTTCCATACTCCTCCCCCCCAATTTTATATCCCTTTTTTTTATCTAAATCATTTCATCCTTCAACCTTTCTCTTTTTTTATTTCCTTTCAAATTTTTTCCTTTTCACCTTTCCAAATTCATCCCCAAAAATTTTCAATTTTCTTTAGAAATCTCCCCTAAAACAGTAATTTTAGCAAAAAGTAACTGTGTTAATTCCATTTTGAATTTGATTCCCCATAATTTTAAACCCCCCCCTCTCCGAACCCCTGCATTTACTTCTTTTACAACCCATCTATAAAAATATTAAAAAACCCTGGTGACATTACACATCCCCCGTTAAGACCTACTTTTACGGAAAAATAGTTTTCCCCCTCTTCTAACACCCCCAAACTGAGCCTCGTTCCCCATAAAAACTTTTTCAGCTTTGTAAATTACACCTATTCCATTTTGCAAATCTGCCACATGTCCTCTATCCATCTATATAGCCCTTTTTAAATCCTAATGCAATAAAACTTCCCCCTTTATCTAAATACTGTTACATATAGCTTCAAAAAAACCTTTATTTTCACATCCCTACCCCTCTGAAACCCCCTTGCTATCTGCAATCCTAATTGTTTACCCCTTTTCTTTCAATTATAACCTACCGTACACTTTTCCGGGGTTTTGTAACTTATTCCCCTATAATTTTTAAACCTTTTGTCCCCTTTCCTTTTATAAAGGGATATACATGCTCTCCGCAAACCCCAGGTACCTTCCCCCCTTTCATACATTTATTAAAAAAAAAGTACCAACCCCTCCAAAACTATGTGTCCCCCTGCTTTTAAAATTTCTGTCTGTCCTCAGTTTCCGTGATTTACCCCCTTTTATTCACGTAATGCCGTGTTTTCCCCCCCTACACTTACATTCTGCTTTCTTCCTCCCAAAAAATGGTTACCTCCCCGTAGTGCATGAAATTACCCC